TTTAGTCTGATTTTTAAACTTTTTTACCATTTCAATAAACGTTCAAACCTATACAAATATAATAAAAATCAGAATTAGATTAGTGGGTGAGACTAAAATCGTCGCGGTGAGTCACGTTATAGATATGAGAATGGAGAAAACGCGTGGGCCGAATTAACACTAAACTTCGCCTTCAATATAGCTGCCGCAAAATATCGTCTTGCGGTCCACGAGTTTAAAACTGTGTTTGAAATTTCGAATATCCATGGAATTGAGAAAGGATTATTCTCTTAGCATTCATTTAAGAATTACACATTCAATAAAGAAGGACACATTCCTTAAAGAAGGACACATTCATTAAAGAAGGACACATTCAATAAAGGATACATTCAAAAAAGAAGTTTTAATAAAGAAGGACACTGTCAATAAAGAAGGAAACATTCAATAAAGAAGGACATACTCAATAAAGAAGGCCACATTCAATAAAGAAGGACACATTCAATAAAGAAGGACATAATCAATAAAGAAGGGCACATTCAATAAAGAAGGCCACATTCAATAAAGAAGGGCATAATCAATAAAGAAGGACACATTCAATAGAGAAGGATCAATAGAGAAGGATACATTCAATAAAGAAGGACACATTCAATAAAGAAGGACACATTTAATTTATTGAAATATTCATTTCTATTCCTAAAATGAAACGCTCACGTCATAAGATCATCAAATTTTGGGGGAAATATTTCCTCTTCAGTCTGCCATTAGCAGCGCTCATGTATATATGGACGTTATGGATGTTTACAAACTTTGATGCCAACCCACAGACGGACACAGTATTATCACGTGACGGCTCAAAGCAGCCCAAAGAACAAATAGTTCCATGGCCCCATGTAGCAAACAAGAAAAGCATCGGTGTTCCTATTAATTACTCTAGTGGGGAGAACCAGCACAGGCTACAAGTTATTAGTAAGTGCATTTTTCCTCTTTACTGAAGTAGATAGAGAACATTCCACAAATGTAGATCACATTCAACAAAATGTGGTGTCAGACTTTCAACGCAAGGGAGTCTAGTTGTTTCTCTGAGCTCTGATTAGTTCATGAATTTGAAACAAAATCAACGTATACATGTGAGTTCTGCATTAGGTCCGTGAAGATTACTGGGAAAACAAGTCGTCTGTAACCAATCCAGGATTAAGACATGTTTGAGTCTATGGATTTTTGAATTAAATATTATTTGCTGGCCGATTGTGTTGTAACTAAATATCAGCTTTAACGAACGGCGTCACATGTTGGAGACATCGATAAATGATAGCATCAGAATGCTATTAAATACTGAACAAACTTTTGGTGACTAATCTTTACATTTATTTATTTAGGAGACTTCAAAGACGTGACTTTTCCAGCATTTGTTGACATTGATGACCCCAAAGGGCCAGGTAATATGAAACAGTTACATACGTCACTCTAACGTGCCAGGTAATATAACATAACATATTCGTCATCTTTAAAGACCAGGTAACTATATCACACATAGATACGTCATCTTCACGGGTCAGAGATAAAAGAACATAGGAGTCTAGCACCACCTGGGGCGGAACGAACTTTTGGCAACCCCATTCATAAGAAAAAACTTTGCATTTGGCCAAAAGTGCCACCCTTCTCATAAAGATGACGCCCCCCCTCCGGTCCTCTTCCTACGCCGCCACTGTATCAACAAGATAACAACGAAACTAAAGCAGCATTACAAGGTCCAGAACTTGAAGTATAATTAAAAGATCAAAAGTAGAGTAAGAAATTTTCTCCAAAAACAGAACGTGATTTTACATCATCATCAATAAATAACGTTCAATAAAAATCATCAATAAATCGCGTTAAATAAATCACCATCAAAAAATCCCGTTTCAATAAATCATCATAATAAAAATAACGTTCAATGAATAATCATCAATAAATCACATTCAATAGATCATCATCAGTAAATCATGTTCACTTAATCATTATCAAGAAATCACATTCAATAAATCACCATTAATAAATCACGTTCAATAAATCACTATCAATAAATCCCGTTCAATAAGTGATGATCAATAAATCACGTTCAATAAATAACGTTTAAAAAAATCATGTTATATAGGCACCAAATACAAAGTCACTCTCTAAAGCTCCATTTAATTACGGGTATACCAGGACATCAAATTGATTGTAAATTTATGGACCTTTCCTGTCTTACATGAAATTGAATTCGTAATGTCATAAGTACAGCGAATAAAGACTGTAAAAAGGACCTAAAAACTAATTTTGCGTGACACATGCGGGGAATATATTAAAATATAAACGCCTTTTGTATCATTGTGTCTTTAACATAACGTTAATTTTGAATCAATTAACGTTGTATGTCGTCTCTTTGTGATTGGTTGGTGGTTTCAATCAGTTGTTAGCTGTTTTTCGCAATGCTGCTTGTCAGACTTGGTCAAGACAAGAACGTCTTTGACAAGACAAACAAGCAGAACAATATTCCGTTGGCTCAACTTTTCTTGACATGACGTATACAAGTCTTTTATAACAATATAGATAGAAAAAGGTCCATCATTTGAAAGTTTACAAAAGAGAATCAAATAATATGGACATTGGAATACTCCGTTGGTTCTAATCGTTGATGATTTAATTTCCAGGGGCAAATGGCGTGGCCGTGACCATAGAAGAAAAAAATCTTTCTGAGAGTGACAGACAGGCGTACAAGAAAGGCTGGCAGCAGCACAACTTCAATGAATATGTTAGTAACATGATATCAGTGCACAGGAGATTGCCAGCTTGTTCACATGAACTGTGAGTCCTGTCTCTGTCTCTATGTGAGCCGTGAGTCCTGTCTATGTCTCTATATGAGCCGTGAGTCCTTTGTCTGTCTCTATATGAACCGTGTGTCCTGTCTATGTCTCTATATGATCCGTGAGTCCTGCCTCTGTCTCTTAATGAAACACGAGTCCTGTGCATGTCTCTATATGAACCATAAGTCCTGTGTCTGTCTCTACATGAACCGTGAGTCCTGCCCCCTGTCTCTATATGAACCTTGAGTCCTTTGTCTGTCTTAATATGAACCGTAAGTTCTGTGTCTGTCTCTATATGAACCGTGACACCAGTAACAGAAACATTGCAAATCCCATCTACATGCATTGGAGCCAAAATGATCAATAAATTGATCGTGGGCCCTTAAGATATAGAAGAAGAAGAAGTGAGCCCTATGTCTATCTTAATATGAACCGTGAGTATTGTGTCTGTCTCTTTATCAGTGCTTTCCAAACGGTCCATGTTGGTGACACACTTTTTAGAGAAACATCATTTCGCGACACAATAAGTAGATTTTACCAGCGTATGTACAAATTTTAATTCAAGACATACGGACACATACATTAAGTGCAATAAAGCAATGTATGATATCACAACATATCTCATCGCATAAAAACCTTTTATTTATATTGATACGTACCGTGATGGTTTTGAAGATTTAATCTATGTTAATAGTTGGCTCGTATTGGAAACAATATGCAGCAAAAGACTGATATAACAGTATGCAAAGAAAACGATACCAAATCTAGTGATACTAAAGATATTTAATTTAATCATAAAACAAATTTTCAATACAAATTGAAAGCAGAGTAGCAACAATTCCTCTCCTCTCTTTCTCTACTTATCTGTCTCTCTCTCTCTCTCTCTCTCTCTCTCTCTCTCTCTCTATCTATCTATCTATCTAAGTTTTGCCATGTCTATCGGCTAAGAAAACTGGGGGGTTTTACATAGGAATTAAATCTGAACGTTCTAGTAAAGAAAATCTAGAATTTGCGTCACCCTAATATTCTTGAGAACAAATGGCACGCATTTGGATGTAAACAAAATTTTCTGAAGCCAAGAAAGGGGCGGGCAGGGAAGGGCTGAACAAGCACAGTTAGATGGTGACGAAAATATCAAGCTCATCCAAATAGACTGTTGTGGTTTCTAAAAAATAGCTTTATTTTGATGTTTAAAATTAGACCACGCCCTACGCTATACTGGGCGATCTATAAAATTTATTTTTGATGTAATGGTAATAAGTAAATAAAGATCTTATACTCACCGAACAATATTTTTACAAATTCCAATCATTCTTATATCATCTATTACTCATTTATTAAATAACACGTTCATCACTCATTTGATTGAAATGGATTCCACATACTAGCGTAGTCTTGGATTTCAGCATTAAAATAAAAAAAAATATTTTCACATTTTCTTCGATCATCTGGTTCACATATTTGATATACCGCCTTTATTTTCATTTTTATTTTTTTAATGCTGGTGTTTATTTTATCTGAGTGTTCAAATGTTTCCTAAGAACGTGCAATTTAAAAAAAAAATGAGATCGCATAATTCATTTAAAATATTTTCCTTAAAAATTGTAAGTATAATTTTCATCAATACATAGTCACGTGTATCAGAGCTACGACATTTCAACGTGTAGTATCACCATTTAAGATGTTGACACAATTTCTTCACAAATCTTATTATTATTATTGTAGCCTGCTTTTGTCCATGTATTTTCTTATTCATTGCCGGCACTTTTTTGAAGTCTAAAATGTGCGCGAATCTTCGCTTGATCTGTCAAATCGTGTCTATCTTTGTACAAAAGTGATCTGTCAATATCTTGTCTATTGTTTTGCAAACGTGATCTGTCAATTCCGTGTCTATCTTTGTACCAACATGATCTTTCCATAACGTGTCCCTATTTATACCTACGTGATCTGTCAATATCATGTCTCTCATTGTACCAACGTGATATGTCAAAATCATGTCTATCTTTGTACCAGCGTGATCTGTCCATATTGTGTCTATCTTTGTACCAACGTGATCTGTCAATATCGTTCTGTTTCTACGCTCACGGTATCAGTGAATTCATGTTAAGTTGATTGTGTCTTTCCATCTTTTCCCCCAGATGTAAGAAAGCCTTTCAGTCGTTCAACGGCTCACTGGATCCACTAAGTGTCATCATCATATTCCACAACGAAGCCTGGTCCACACTTTTAAGATCGGTTCACAGTGCTTTATCACGAACTCAACCAGATCTGCTGAGAGAAGTTATACTAGTGGATGATTGCTCAACATTAGGTCCGTGGTTTAATGATCTCAATCCGATAGCACAAAAAGTTTTACAAAATATGTTCTATGATTTAAATATGTGTCAACATTGATCACATTTCTTTTAACATGGACTCCTCCCCCCCCCCACCCCAACTCCTTTATTAAATAGCTTTCTTGGGAGCTCCACTGGACAAATACTTCAGACAATTCCCTAAAGTGAAAATAGTTCGAGCTGAGAAGAAAGGCGGTTTGATCAAAGCAAGACTTCTGGGGTTTGAGGCGTCCACCGCCCAAGTGGTGGTGTTTCTGGATGCTCACATTGAGTGTTATCCAGGTACTTATGACATAATATACATGTTGGGATGTTGGGTAATTGGTTGTCACGAACATATGTAATAAGTTATAGACTTTGAATAAATCCGCAGCTCAGAATGATTTTTTGCCTTTACACTAAATCACTGTATCCCACACCCCTTTCCTTTATTCCTCATCATTCCGACCTACAATGACATCTTCAGACTGGGCTGACTCGTTGTTGCTGCAGATCAAATTGAACCCTAAGGCCGTTGTGTTTCCTCTCATTGATAACATCAACGACAAGACATTCGGTATCGGCTGCAACAAAAATCCTGTCCACTACGCAAATTTTCATTTAAAAAATTTGTTTTTTGATTGGATAGAGATTCCAAAACGTGAGTTCGACAGGAGGAAGGACATTACCATACCATTCAGGTGAGCCAACCATACGATTCAGGTGAGCCAGCCATACCATTCAGGTGAGCCAACAGTACGATTCAGGTGAGCCAGCCATACTATTCAGTTGAGCCAACCATATCATTCAGGTGAGCCAGCCATTCCATTCAGGTTAGCCAACCATATCATTCAGGTGAGCCAATCATTCCTTTCAGGTAAGCAAACCATATCATTCAGGTGAGCCAACCATATCATTCAGGTGATCCAACAATACCTTTCAGGGGAACCATCCATACCATTTAGGTCAGCCAACCATACCATTCAGGTGAGCCAACCACACCACTGAGGTGAGCCAACCATACCATTCAAGTAAGCCAACCGTACCATTGCAGTGAACCAACCAAACCACTCATGTGAGCCAACCATACAAGTCTGGGATCCCAACTCAATATAAAAAAAACATTTCCGGACAAATATTCAATCTACAATATTTTTATGGAACATCATTTTATTTAAGACATATTTTAAAGGTATATTGTTGAAAATAAGAAGTTTAAAAAATGAAACATCCGCACGTCTACATTTATATGACTCCATCCACTATGCTTAATATCAAATAGGTATCTTTTTATGACTATGAATTTACGTTATTTGACAGTGAGACGTGACTCTTTTTTTAAGTGTTAGCTATCATGCATGACTTTCTCATCAGATTTATCTTAGTTATGAGTTTTGACAAGTTTTAAACAAGTTTTTAAAGAAAATGTGTTTACAATGTCTCTTTCTTTTTTTTTTTTTCTTTTTTTTTACGAACATCCTAAAGTTCTTTCCGAAAATTCTTTTTTAGGGTAAATTTAAAAAAAAATTTTTTAAGAAAATGTGTTTACAATTTTTCTTTTTTTTTTTTTTTTTCTTTTTTTTTACGAACATCCTAAAGTTCTTTCCGAAAATTCTTTTTTAGGGTAAATTTAAAAAAAAAAAGACTGTTATTAACTTACGGACGGTTGGTCACCATGGTGATGGCAAAAAGAAAATTTACCAGAGCTCGCTCCAGTCTGTTTCATAACATGTTAAATAAAAGGACAGGAACAGCAGCGGTTCCCAGCCTGTTGGTCGTGAACCCGTTTCCCTATTCTCCAATTATGCGTTAAATTTTTATTATTATTGATGTTTTTATATAGCGCAGTATTCCAGCCTAGGGCTGAGCTCACCACGCTGTACATACAATTGAACAAGCATAATTATGAACTTAAAAATTAAAAGACATTAATTAACTAAAACACTCCACACATTCAAGAACTATTTACATGTCAAGCCACGGACGGCTACCAAGCAGCATCGTTTATTGATCAGAAGGGGGGAATCAGTCAGGATAGTAGAGTTTAATTTAAAGACATATGTTTTGAGTGGTGTTTTGAACAATGTGATGGTTGGTATATTGCGAATGTGTAGTGGAAGAGAATTCCATTGTTTGGGGGCATAGAAAGAAAAAGATCGTTCACCGTATGTTTTTGTGCGTGTTTTGGGGACATGAAGAATACGCGCGTCTGCGGAGGAGCGAAGCTGTGGAAGGGGTGAATAGACAGAGAGAAGTTTGGTTGGATGGGAAGAGCTGGAATTCGAGAAAAATTTGTGGCAGAGAACAGAGAGTTTGTAGTCAATCGGTGCTTGTACACAAAGGGAAACTCCCAATCTAATATGAAACATTTCCGCCTTTCTAGTCCCCACGATTTTGTCAGATGAAAGTGATTGGGTGAAGACGGCTAACTTTGTTAGAGTGAACAGGTTTGCATGTTTGAAGACTATAAAAGGAAAGCTCTAACTGTTAAGAATAATGTCTTGATAAAAAAGTAATTTTTATATTTTTTTTATAACTCTGTTACCTCAAATTCTATGATTTCCTTTTAAGTCTGTTCTGCTACAGGACATATTTACAAAGCTTTTCTGTATGATTTGGTTAAGAATTACACCATGCAGGTCCGGGGGTGGGGGTTGGTGGGTTCCAAGGGGGTGGCACATGACTTGACCACAGTGGAGGACACCAACCCTAGTGTCGCATCTGCTCAGCCAACCGTCAATAGCAAGATTTAAGATCTCAAGATAACTGTTGGCATGTCTGAATTCTTAAGTGAAAATATACACTCCTTCACAGAAAAAAAAATACTTAAACCATTGTTGGTTCCTTATTTGTTGGCCTGGCCGTATAGTGTAAGCTAAAACATAGTGCCAATAATAAGCTTAATTTTTGTTTTTGTAAACTATTGGTAAATCTTAATTATATTGAAATCAGCTTCTCAAGCAGCGGCAGCCTTTAGGGTGTGCGATCTTTGCCCTCGCCCATGGCGCCGTGGCCATAGGGGAACTGTTGCGAGTTTTTATTTATATAGGTCCCCTGTTTTCCTTTACGTAGAGTATCACTGCCACTAGGGCTATGTTCCCGGTTTCCGGTTGGCATGTCTGTTGTGGCTTGTCGATTAGGGAGCGTCGGCCAACGACCCCCTCGGCGTGTGCCGGGAAACAGAACTACTGGGCACGCCCCGCGTGGGCAGACAAAGGGTGTGCTCGGTACCTGCCGTACATAAAACAGCTCCTACAGGGCTGCCAGTTGTGATACTTCACAGCCGGTAAATTAGGCAGAGCCAGGGTAGGGATCATGATTACAAGTTGCCGGTGACGGGTATGAGGCCAGAGGCGAGGGTGGTAACCTCTGGCCGAGGATTCAAACAATGCAGCCCTGAGAAAGCTGTCTCTAGGCAACCGTTTCGTCCCATCTACAGCACGAGCTAGTTGCATTGTGGAAACCCACTGTGGAATCCCTCTAATAGGGTGTCCGACGCTTTCCCGGGAAGGGTGGGGGAAGATATTAGGACGTAAATTTTCCATCCCAACTCCATAAGAAAGTCGATCGTGTGCACTATTTAAACGCATAGTGTCCGATCGACCGGGTGCCTGCTGGTTGGGGAAATCCCCCAGGCGGGGCCCTGGTTGAGCGCCCAAGCGCCCGGATTGGGGGACTTGGGTGGGGGGCCCGGGTGGGGCCGTCCTGACGAGTGGGAATCCCGACGTGCCGCTCCGCGGCCCCATGCGTCGGGCCGGGAAGGGGTGATTTGGGGGGGGGGGCATAAAGAATGCAAACTCGCCCTGCTGACGCCATTTCTTGATGTAATAATTTACAGAGTAGTCTATACTCTATTGTGTACTATACCAGCTGTAAGAAGTTCTGCTATACTCAACTCAATTGAACTGACTCTAAATTAGCTCACTATACTGAGATCAGAGTCAACTGTACTAATTGTGCTAGATCAAGCTAACTCAAACTGTACTGGTACAACTCAGACTAGACTAACTGTTACTAACTCAACTGTTTCTTACTAATTGAACTACTGTTACTACTTCACTGTTACTAACTGGCCAGCAAAATCTAAATAAAAAAACTTCATCAGCTAATTATGCCAGCGAGTCTCTACTGACAGACTTCAGGTGAAAGAGGTTGATAAATGATAAGGGCCTTTAATATATACCCTAAGTATGGCGTTCTGTCCCGCAATCAAGCATCGCTTGGTGTCCTGCATTCTCATGACTCCTATGCGTCACTTGGGATGCTTGACCATAATGAGTGCATTGTTTTAGCTGGCTCATGGCCGAGGTGACAAGGTTAATTTCCATTGTTCATTGAGTCATTGTTATTAGTGTAAGACCCAGCCTAATTACGTAATATCCCCTAGGGAAGCGATGGAGAGAGTGTGAGCCAGCGGGTCTCACAAAAGTGAGGTCCAGCGGGTCTCAACAGTCACCTTGGGCGCCCAGTAAATATTTAAATTCTCCAAATTTATTATAGTGAAGTGTGAAGTACCGTAGAAAAACTTAACAGTCTAAATTAATGTGCATGTAAAAATGCGTATGGTTACCTATATGTACAGCATCATAACACGTGCTCCATAGCCTATGTCGTAATTAGAGAAAGAGCGGAATCATACAGGGACAGCATATGGGGCGCCTAACGTGTTCTTTGCATGGGGCGAGAATTTACCTGAGGCCGGCGTTGTCTCGATCTTGAAAGGGCCTGAATAGTTCTTACCGTGTTCGTCATAATGTCCTAGGTACTCCTCTGCTTGGCAATAATGTATGCCACATAAAATAGGAAACCATTGAGTTAAGTCTAAAACTTCCTTTTTTAATATCAAATTATTTCAAACGTTCAGGTCTCCTGTAATGCCCGGGGGTCTCTTTGCCATATCTAGAAAATTCTTCATAGAACTTGGCACCTATGATCCGGAGTTGGACTTTTGGGGTGGAGAAAATATTGAACTCTCATTTAAGGTACATACATTTTACATCATATCTTTGACTTAGCCGCCTTCTAGATTATGTGTCTATATAAATTGACAACATCCATCATTCCATGTAATAGCTGAACAGTTATATGAATCTTACCATTTATCCACTATAACCTAATTTAACCTTCCAGACCTGGATGTGTGGTGGCACTTTATTGATGGACGTTTGCTCTCATGTTGGCCACGTCTTTCGCTCTGGCGTTCCCACCAAGGGGGCCCCCAATGCTGTCATCAAAAACACAATGAGAGTGGCCGAAGTGTGGATGGACGACTACAAAAATTATTTCTATGAGGCAACAAATTACCAAACTGTAAGTCAGCTTCTCATATCACGTTATACAATTCTACTACACACGCAAATGTGTCCACAGGAATTTTTCCAAAATGGGGGGGGGGAGTCAACAAGCTTCTGAATTCTTTTTCATAATATGAACATATAAACAAGAGCAAAGAGTGTAAGTAAGCCTATATATAAATTGTAGCAAAATTTTTAAATTACAGTTTTTTTAACAAACACAAAACTAATTTTAAAGTAAAAAATCATTTCTTGACATAAATTAGTTAGCTTTTATATAATGATGTAAACTATACAAGTAATAGACCCACATATTGCTTGATATTGTTTAATTACAATATTTGAGTATTAATAATTACTTCCTCATCTATCTCCATCAGTTGATTGTGGTTTCTTTTTCAGTTTCTTTGTCATTTCCTCAATCTATCTCCATCAGTTGATTGTGGTTTCTTTGTCATTTCCTCATCTATCTCCATCAGTTGATTGTGGTTTCTTTGTCATTTCCTCATTTATCTCAATCAGTTGATTGTGGTTTCTTTGTCATTTCCTTATCTATCTCCATCAGTTGATTGTGGTTTCTTTGTCATTTCCTCATCTATCTCCATCAGTTGATTGTGGTTTCTTTGTCATTTCCTCATTTATCTCAATCAGTTGATTGTGGTTTCTTTGTCCTTTTCTCATCTATCTCCATCAGTTGATTGTGGTTTCTTTGTCATTTCCTCATCTATCTCCATCAGTTGATTGTGGTTTCTTTGTCATTTCCTTATCTATCTCCATCAGTTGATTGTGGTTTCTTTGTCATTTCCTCATCTATCTCCATCAGTTGATTGTGGTTTCTTTGTCATTTCCTCATCTATCTCCATCAGTTGATTGTGGTTTCTTTGTCATTTTCTCATCTATCTCCATCAGTTGATTGTGGATCTGTGAGAAGTTTAACGAATATCACAAATGAACACCTGTAAATGTGTTTCCACGTCCACGACGCCAGCCTCCACTCTGATCATGCACATTTTCGCTGTCACTGTTTTTGAAACGAAGTGGGATGTCGTGTGTCCCGAAGAAAATGATTGTGGATAATATCGGCAAAAGCTTTTTTCGATTTTCTAAAACCTTATCAGAAATAAATGTGTCTATTTGAGTTAGAATATATTTGCGAGGATTCACTTCAGAATGACTGTCTACGAATCGCTAGCTCTACTACCCGTGTGTTACGCACGATTATAAGTGTAGAGAATCTAATTTCTTATTTTACTATATGGTTCGTGTCAAAAGACAATAATAATAATAATAAGAGGTCTTATATAGCGCGAAACCCCAGCCTAGGGCTGGGATCACCGCGCTGTACATACAAATTTTTATCAAAAGAAACATAATCATGACTAATGAGCGCATAACATAACAATGCAATTACAATACTGTAATAAAGAAATGATACCCAAACTAGCGCTAATTACAATTAATAATTTATTAAGCTAATTTAAATTTAAAAAATCAAAAAGATTTAAAATTAAGGCTATTGACTTACAGAACAGTAATCCACGCAAGCAGGGTCATGCTAAAGGTCATATTGAACCAACTAAAACCATATACAGACAAAATCATTGCTGAAGAACAGGCCGGCTGAAGACAAGTACGGGGCACTACTGAGCAGATCCTAAACCTTCGAATACTGTGTGAGAAATACGCTCAAAACCAACAAAACCTATACCACGTCTTTGTGGATTTCAAGAAGGCATAAGACAGAGTTTAGCATGCTGCTTTATGGGCCATCATGAAGAACTACAACATCAACACAAACCTAACTAGAATTATATGCAGCCTCTATGATAAGGCCACCAGTGCAATTTTCTTCAACAATAACATCGAAGAAAAGTTCAAGATCACGGTTGGAGTACTGACAGGGCTGCTTGCTGTCCCCCACCCTGTTCAACATCTTCTTGGAGAGGATTATGTCAGATGCACTGGAAGCGCATGTAGGGACAGTCAGCATTGGTGGCACAACAATCACCAACCTAGGTTTGGCGGACGACATAGATGGAGTGGCTTGAAACGAAAAAGAGCTAGCCAAGCTCTTAGAGCGTCTCGACAATACTTCATCGTCCCTTGGCGTGCAGAAAAGTTAAAATTGATATTAAGCAACACCACCGGCATCTAAACTGAAATTAAGATCGGGGTGGAACATTAGATACAGTAGGCAGTTGAAAATACCTGTAAGAAATAGTCTCGGAAGAAGCCTCCAAGCGCGAATTGATGTCCAGGATTGCCCAGACCACAACAGCACTAAAGAGGCCTAAGAAAATATGGAATGACACAAATATAGCCCCCAGCACCAAAATCAGGCTGATGCGCTCATTAGTCCTCTCCAATTTCTTGTATGCCTGGGAGTCCTGGACCTTAAAAGCAGAGCTTGAAAGAAAAATAAAGGCGACGGAGATAAAATGTGTCAGAAACATATCTGCTATAGAGACCATAGCTCTAAAGAACCAGTAAGAGAAAAGATTCGTCAAGCACTTGGCAATATGATGACCACCTGGTGACTGTAAACATGCGGAAACTGGAATGGTAGGTCCACGTGACAAGAAAACAAGGGCTCACAAAAGTAATCATGCAAGGCACAAGGAGAGAAGGAAGAAGAAGAGGAAGACAGAGAAAAAGATGGGGAGATAATCTCAGAGCGGGGACGGGATTAAAACTAGGCGATGTTGTACCAAGTGCAGAAACAGAGAGGAGTGGAGCAGGATAGTTTTCCTGTCATTTGTGGCGCCCCAACGGTCCAAGGACTAAGGGACATGATGATGACAGTAATGAGCTTGTACCGGTACAATGTTGAAGTAGTTGTGCACACAGAGTAAATATTAATATACAAACCTTTGTCTCGTATCTTCAAAGCAAAACTCTCTTGTAGTGCCTTTTAAGATTTCTAATTCGAAAGATAATAGATTGTTTTTACTTGCAGTCAAAATGGAGGGATAGTATTTATAATTAAACCACTTCCATCGAGAGAATCTAACTTTCTATTCCACTGTTTCTATTATGTCATTGAAATGATCATATTAACTTTTTGATATAACAGGTAGATTACGGCAATGTGACAGATCGTAAAATTCTGCGAAAGGGGTTGAAATGTCACAACTTTGAGTGGTACCTGAAAAATGTCTTTCCTGAACTTGTTATACCTCACGGGATAGATTATGTAGGCGAGGTAGGTAGTTGTTAAACAAGTATAAATATATATATATATATATATAGATATATATGTATATATATATATATATATATATATTTATATATATACTGTTTTTCGTAATCTTAGAAAAATAAAGTTATCAGTTAAAACTGTTTCAGTTAGACTAATTTAGAAGTCGGTCAGATAAAAAATAATTACTTAAGTTGCTGGCATAATGTTTTCGCTGCTACTTCACACATCAATTGGTTAAGATTTTCTTTACTTTCTTTTTCGGTTTCTTTAATGAAAAATTGTTTATGTCACATAAACTTTTTAGATAAGATTTTACCAAAAGGAGCCTTGCTATTTTATTTCCCGTTCATAAAGTTTTCTACCATTCTACATTTCCTGTTCATCTATTTTCTTCCCACCACAAGATTAGGAATGTATCAGCCCCTTAATTTTTTTTTGATAGTGAACTCAAAGTCTGCGCCCATTTATTATGTATGGATTCCATGAATTAGGAAATAATCCGCTGTGGTATTTTAACAATAATCATCGAATCTCATCACTATGTACCTTTTCCCACCTCAGATAAGAGGTGTAGCGGCCCCAAAATGTTTGGATGGTGGTTCCAGTCCTGAGCCTGCACTCTTTATGTATCGGTGTCATGGACAAGGCAATGATCAACTGTGGTACTTTAACAACAATCATCAAATCTATCGGGAAAACATTTTTCTCTGTGTCAAAAATGGATCAACTGTCCTTGAATGGAACAAATGCTCTTCTCGGGGAAACTGGAGGTATCAAGAGGTAATTCAATGAATTGCACCGAAAGCTTTGTCAATAAATTACACCTTCAGTTTCTGTATCAATTGGGATCAATCAAAAATCAATTTATTTATTATAATCAAGTCAATTTAAAACGTAATTAATTACACAAAATAATCAAATAAATTGTGTGAAGGGTTTACATGACACATATTATATCGTGTGAACAATGCAAATCTTGAGATGTTATATATATGTATATATTTTTATAGATTAATATATTTAAGAATGAGCTATGCAGACGTAACGCCAAAGAACCGAAACGATTTAAATACGTTCGGATTCTTAAAAACATATATAGTTATTTTCCATTATTTTACGGAAATTGAATTAATTTAAATGCGCAAAAAATAACATAAATACGCTTTTATTTTAGTAAAAGTTTTAGTAGTATTATTATAAATTACAAAAATATTTAAAGTAACAACTAAGGAACTATTTTAAGCAGTTTATTCCAATTTAAAAGTTATGGGAGAAAATCATAATAAAATTATGATCTAACAATTACATAGTATTCACATTTATTGGGAAAACCCAAACATGACAAGATACGCCTTAAAATAAAGGAATGAATTTTTTAAATAATTAACCTTCTTTGGTGCATACATATCGGAGATAGGACAAAGGATGTGAACATTTTTACGTGGATGACAATATATTTAATTCCTATGGTATTATATGTGTGAAAAAAAGAGATGTTACATTCTCTCTTTACAAAAAACCATATGTTTACCAATTAAGAAAATGATGACGTTAACAAATCTTGGTTAAACTTATATAAGTATATCCATGAATTTCAAAACCTAATCATTTTACACACTTGAAAAATTAATTTGAAAAAAAGAGATGGGATATTAATTGTGACATAAAGAATTGTTGAATGATATCATTAAAGCGTCAAGAAATCAAACGACATTTAAGATCAATTGAAAGATCTTAGAAATGATAACAAGAAATGTCAAAATATATTACACGTCTGATACAGTGATCTCACAAGTTCCTGAATCAAGCAATGATTTCATGATTGCCTTCTTACTTTTTGTTTCTAAATACTGGAGTAATGGTTATTCTGGTACAAAGCAACTGTACACAGGAAACATCAAGGGCCTAAAGCTGCTGCATCGCATTTTGCTAACAACTGAAATATTTTTTGAGTGCAACCAATGCATATTGTTTTCTTTCCAAGAATAGTTTTAGCTCCATCATGCAACTCGCTGCTTGGTCTCCATCATACAACACTGCCGCTGGGTCTCCATATTGCAACACTGCCACTTCGTCTCCATCATACAACACTGTCATTCTAAATATTTGAAAATACCGCATCATTCATGCTTATGCAAGCATAATTTTTAAAAATCTAAAGAACAAATATTTGCTCACGTCGGTATCGATCTACAGACTGCAGTGTTCTCTCATGGTCAGCTCTTAGATACATTTTCAAGATCCAGGAACCAAGCACAAGATTAAAGCTTTTACAGAAATCTACATCAGACCCAGCGTCTGGGAGATGGTCACATGTCTCGCAATGTAGTTGTCCCATGAAACATGTCAGAACTAAAAATAATTTAACTATTTTTTCATAAATATAAATTGTCTTAAATGTGTGTAGGTTTAAATTGTGCTCCCCCCCCCCAATTCCGTCAAGTTCTGGCGCCTTGGGCACCACGGGATAACCTAGTAATTTTATAAACTAAATAATTTTTGAAAACTCCATTCCGGGAACATTGCGGAAACAAAACACTGGAAGCCCTTGTACATCCAAATAAAATCAATTTCATACTCTAGGCTTCATGCAGTGATCAGACTGGAATAAATGCGATCTGTGGACTTATTAATTAATATCGCAGAATACATGTTTGCAAAGACAAAATGACCTTGGATTTTATTTTTAGCGCCAGGAATCTATTTTTTTAAAATAAATTCTTGACCGAAAAAAAACCACAATCCAGTCCTGGTCGTTTTTTTTTTACATCAATCAATTGATTCTGATTGACCGTTATTGATTACTGAACACACAAATCTCATCAGTTAGCTGATCCTGATGAAGCGTTATTAAAAACTGTACATATAAAACTCATCAATCAGCTGATTCTGCCATACCGTTATTGATTACTGTAAATACAAAACTCATCAATCAGCTGAATCTGCCATACCGTTATTGATTACTGTAAATACAAAACTTATCAATGAGCTGACTCTGATGTACCGTTGTTAATTACTGTGAATACAAAACTCATCAATCAGCTGATTCTGATGTACCGTTATTGATTACTTTAAATACAAAACTCATCCATCAGCTGATTCTGATGTACCGTTGTTAATTACTGTGAGTACAAGACTCATCAATCAGCTGATTCTGATGTACCGTTATTGATTACTGTACATAAAGAACTGTACAATATGGGACCATATATGTATTCTATGCAATGATCCCTATAAGCGGCCGAGCAGCTAACTCACAGACGTTGCGCAGCAGTTTTGAGTATACGCGCAGCAAATTTCCATTAAAGTGTGTGTTTTTGTTTGTGGGCTGTAAAATTTTGCACACACAACTGTACGATTTTGCACACGAACCAGCAAACATTAGAGGGAACATTGACTCTATGCACTAACTTCTTTAAGGAATGTTTAAGTGGGAGTGTTCAAGTATCCGGACAATATGTTACCCGAACTCGCCATGGTTCCAAATAGTTCGGAAAATTGACGCTTTTTTAGAATTAATATCTTCTCTTTCTGCAAAAGTTATATAATTTACCATTTTATTCACATACTTCATTCACCTGATATTGGTATCATTTCCTTCTCAGGACAAAAGTTTGGTCTACTTACCAACAAATGAATGTCTCATTGCCAGTGTCACAGATAGCAAAGTGTCTTTAACTCCTTGTCACCCAGGCAACAAATGGCAACAATGGAACCTGCAGCGAAGACGAAGTGATCTCAACTTTCCAAAATAGAGCGTGGCGTCATCTTAACTCATCAAAGCTATTTTATAAGTCAAAATAAATTCAAGTCAACAAATAGATTGAGACCTGTTCTCTAGATTACAAGCGTGTGTAGTAGTTGGTAGTGGAGTGAAAGACCTGTTTTTTATGTCGGTTTTAAATCGTTGGCCCGCTGTCCTGTGTGTGTCCTCCACAGTTTCCTGCTGGTCAACATCAAACGTTCAAATCATTCAAGTATTACATTTCATGCTTTATTAGTTCCCCCTTTGGCTATTTTTATGACAATAGAAAATAGTATTTCTATGTTGTTTAAAATCAACAAATTTATTTGTGAAGTCCGCCTTTAGAAGTCCATAAAATATCTTCTTTGTGACGTATCACTAAATTATTTATGGTATTTCTTCTCTACTGATGTTCTGCATGGAGAATCAGCTGTTTCTGTGTAGACCAGCACAATTTGACAAACACTCATAGTGCACAATTTGGCAAACACTCATAGTGCACAATTTGACAAACACTCATAGTGCACAATTTGACAAACACTCATAGTGCACGATTTGACAAACACTCATAGTGCACAATTTGACAAACACTCATAGTGCAAAATTGACAAACACTCAGAGTGCACGATTTGACCACCAACTAACTAACACACATATTCTGGTGAGGGTCTGAGATTACTCTCTTATGACCCCGGCTAGTAAATTGGCTATCAACTCCATCTGTTGAGCTGAGCCATACAACATTTTCCTCACAAAGGGTCCTCCAACCGCCCTGGCTTCCCCCGGGAGATCTAGTGAGGGGCATTCGGTCAACAGGTGCTCTAGGGTCTCCGGGGCCAGGCTGCAATACCGGCAGGTAGGATCCCTGTTGTTATCCAGCCACCAGAAATATGTGCCCAAGGGGCAGTGCTCGGTGCGCATCTGCGTCACTAAACTCTGCGTTCTGCGTCCTAACCCCCACCCTGGGTCTTGTTTGCTAGGAGTGGGCAAGTTTGAATAGACGCCTCTGGCGGTCGTGTTGTCAGCCCATTGCATGTACCACTTCTGCCTGAAGTGGTCCGCCAGCCAGTTTTTAATTCCCAAGAAAGTCATTGGTACTTCTGGCTGAGGCTGGGCAGCCCTGGTTTTCACCAGAGTGTCCGCTCTCTCGTTGCCACTGATGTTGACGTGCCCTGGTATCCACTGCATAGTAACCTTGCCCCCTAGTTCACCAAGTTTACATACGTCGTTGGTAATGACGTCGACCAAGTGTGTGGTACCTTGTCTCTTCCCCAAGATCTCAAGAGCAGATCTTGAGTCTGAGTAAACAACTACATCAAGCCCCGCATGTTCCGTCCCTTTCAAAGTGTCGTGGACTCTCTCCAAGGCCCTGTGTATAGCCATGAGCTCCGCATCAAAATTTGATGCTGCAGTCCCACAAGGCCCCGAGAGTTCTTCAATGGGTGGTCATCCCACTGGGTACAGTATGAGCGCACCGTACCCTGCAGTTCTCTCTCTCAGGTTGGCAGATCCGTCCGTGAACACTTTCACTGGTATGTGTGCGAACACATCCATGGTCTCAAGGGCAGCCGCTTTCTGAACATGTTCAGGGCTACCTTTCGTCACTGCTGCATCAGTCAAGGCCAAATGTATAGAGGGACGTGAGGGCTCCGCATATGGTGGATTAACTGGGATTAAGGTCAGACGTTCTCTATTTGGGGGCAGGGCGACTGTCCTTTCCAGCTCCACGACCTGGTGCATGAAAGAGGACCTCTTTAGTCTCCTGCCGCCAACCCAGTTATTCTGCATTTGGAAGGCTGGTTCGTTTTCGTCGAGCCGCCGGTACCTCTCTACGGTACTTAATATTGACTTTTCCCTCCTAATTTGTAACGGTTCTACATTGGCCAAGATCTCTACAGCAGCTGTGGGAGTAGTCCTGTAAGCGCCACAGATGAATCTCAGAGCCTGATTCTGGATTCGGCCCAGTTTTTCCAGTGCGGTCTTGCTTCCAAAGGATTGGACCGGCATGCTGTAATCCATCACCGACCTTACACTGCTTAGGAAAAGAGCTCTAAGCGTACTTGCGCCCGCGCCCCAACTTGTGCAAGCCAGTTTTTTCACCAGGTTGAGCTTGGCGGTTGCCTGGGAGCAGAGGTCCAGTACAAAATTATGCATTAGCACCTTTTGATCTAATTTGACGCCCAGATAAACCGGGTGCATGATTTGACCACCACCTTTAGTACAAGATTTTACCAACACCAGAGTGCACCATTTGACTACCACCTATAGTGCATGATTTGACTACCACCTATAGTGCATGATTTGACCACCACCTATAGTGCATGATTTGACTACCACCTATAGTGCATGATTTGACCACCACCTATAGTGCATGATTTGACCACCACCTATAGTGCATGATTTGACCACCACCTATAGTGCATGATTTGACCACCACCTATAGTGCATGATTTGACCACCACCTATAGTGCATGATTTGACCACCACCTATAGTGCATGATTTGACCACCACCTATAGTGCACGATTTGACTACCACCTATAGTGCATGATTTGACCACCACCTATAGTGCATGATTTGACCACTACCTATAGTGCATGATTTGACCACTACCTATAGTGCATGATTTGACCACCATCTTTAGTACAGGATTTTACCAACACCAGAGTGCACGATTTGACTACCACCTATAGTGCATGATTTGACCACCACCTATAGTGCATGATTTGACCACCACCTATAGTGCATGATTTGACCACCACCTATAGTGCATGATTTGACCACCACCTATAGTGCATGATTTGACCACTACCTATAGTGCATGATTTGACCACTACCTATAGTGCATGATTTGACCACTACCTATAGTGCATGATTTGACCACTACCTATAGTGCATGATTTGACCACCATCTTTAGTACAGGATTTTACCAAAACCAGAGTGCACGATTTGACTACCACCTATAGTGCATGATTTGACCACCACCTATAGTGCACGATTTGACCACCACCTATAGTGCATGATTTGACCACCACCTATAGTGCATGATTTGACCACCACCTATAGTGCACGATTTGACCACCACCTATAGTGCATGATTTGACCACCACCTATAGTGCATGATTTGACCACCACCTATAGTGCATGATTTGACCACCACCTATAGTGCATGATTTGACCACCACCTATAGTGCATGATTTGACCACCACCTATAGTGCATGATTTGACCACCACCTATAGTGCATGATTTGACCACCACCTATAGTGCATGATTTGACCACCACCTATAGTGCATGATTTGACCACCATCTTTAGTACACGATTTGACCTCCACCTATAGTTCATGGTTTGACCACCACCTATATGGTTTGACCACCACCTATATGGTTTGACCACCACCTATATGGTTTGACCACCACCTATATGGTTTGACCACCACCTATATGGTTTGACCACCACCTATATGGTTTGACCACCACCTACAGTGCATGGTTTGACCATCACCTATATGGTTTGACCACCACCTATATGGTTTGACCACCACCTACAGTGCATGGTTTGACCACCACCTATTGTCATTTTGACAGCCTGAACTTTGGAAGAGTGCACAATGAGATAATGAATTCATTTCAAGATGGAAGTAGTACAAGGGATGGTACTTTTTTTTGTTTACCGAACAGAGAGTGATGTCATTATTTAACCAAGTGGACGCAGCTCAAGCCTCGAGACCTGACAAATTAAGTGGTCGGCTCATTAAACTATGTTCAGAGCAGCTCTCCTTCATTTTTTGTTACATATTCAATAAATCTTATGTAACTCACACAATACCATCAATTTGGAAAACTTCAGAAATCAGACCAATTCCAAAGAAAATTAAGGTAACGTGCAACAACGACTTACGACCTGTTGCACTTACCTCTATTGTCATGAAATGTTTTGAGAAAATAATTCTCAAAGAAATTTTGAATGAAGTACAGCAAAAACTTGATCCCACCAATTTTCTTACAAACCTGTAGAAGTACGGATGACGCAATCTTATTATTGTTAGAGAGACTTTACCATCATCTAGACCAGCGGTTCTCAACCTTTCTGAAGCCGTGACCCTCTTAATACATTGCCTCATGGTGTGGCGACCCCAAAACACAAAATTATTTTCGTTAATACTTTACAACTGTGGATTATGTGCGTCCCTAAGATAGACCTGTACAAACAATTCAGTTAAATATTGAAGTTAATTGTTCAAATATCTGACGTTTAAATGGGAAGGAATCGTAAATACGTCGAATTTTCAGCTTTTACTACAACTTAATTTTTAGTATTCATTGTCCAATTGAAATGGGGTGGAAAAAAAACGAAAAAAAAACAAACTTACTTTTAAAATAAAACTGGGCACCCCCGTACAAAAAGATGTGAATATTGCTAGTTTGAGATCCGCCGATTTTAGAACATCCTGCACTCATTTGGAAGTTTCTATCTTGTCTTTTTTGTCTTTTTGTCTTTAAATTTTTTCTTTAAATCTGATCTGATGGCATAAGAGGTAAATCATAATACTCGATGAAACATGAAAAGGTTATTTATAGAATCTTAAAACAATAGAACGTTGCATAATAAGAAGCTTCAAGAAACTTTTAAAAGATATATTCAGCGACAACTGGAACTGGGGAAGGGGTGAGATCTCCCAGAAATGTATGGGAAGCTTTAAAAACTTCATTAAAACTTCCATAAACTGTTAGATCCTATCGACATTTTAATAATTTATATCTACATGGAACGCTATAGAACTTGCTGGAAAATCTATATATATATAAAAATGAATGTCTGTATGTGTGTATGTCTCTTATGCGCTCCTACACAATTCATGCGATTGCAAAAAACTTTGGTCAGTTGTTGTCCACATAACGGCCATTTAACTGAGTCATTACAACCCTTATAATATGTTCCGTTTTCAGCCGTTGGCCTTTAAATCGATTTTTTTTTCATTTATGAGCTTTGTAAAAAATAATGTCCATATGCGCTCCTACGCCATTTATCCGATTGCGATAAAACTTTGCTGTGATTTTGCGAGC